TTAGGGTTAGGGCAAGGGTTAGGGTTAGGGTTAGGGTTAGGGTTAGGGTTATGGTTAGGGTTAGGGAGTAGGCGTAGGCGACTCCCTAGACTCGTTAGTGGAGTAGGCGAGGCACGGTCCGGCATATTAGATAGTACCAGCAGAGCATATAAATCACGTTGATTTATATGCTCTGGTACCAGGGTACGTTCTGGTATACCGGACCGTACCCAGGGTACGTTCCGGCAGTACCCTGGGGGACATAGACCCTCTCAGCTTCATTATGACCGCAAAAAGCTCGGGCGTCTTTTATTTCATCGAGATCGAGGTGTTCCATGATATCAGGGGGTTAATAATGACAAACAGGGGGTAATAATGAGATCTGCTAATGTTGACTTCTGCGTATCACGCTATCTTGGATTGAAGGATCCCAAGTCGATCGATGCATACAGTTTAAATCCATCGTAACAAGGGATCAGTCAGGCAGCATAAAATTGCGGTGCATGATTGAATGTACGTTTGTATTATACAGTTCGCTTTTTCAGTAGAGGGAGAAAGTCAAAAACGATTAAAAAAAAGCGCACGAGAGAGAGGAGATGTGGTTTCTTATGTGGTTCATGATCTTGAACAGTTAAGAGCCTCGTTCGCCGCACCGTAGTTTGCTTGATGCACCCATAATTTAGATTCATGGGCAGAGAGTGCTCTGTGTTTATTCACTCCGGAAGATCAAAAAACCGGTGGCGACATTTGCTAGGGAAGTCGTATGCTGGTGGGCCCCATTAATTACGACTACTGTAGCGCCACACGGGACATTTTATGTGTGTGGGCGTGTGTTGTGTGTGCGCGTAAGCGTGTGCGCGTGTGTATGTGCATGTGAGTGTGCGTGTGCGTGTGCGTGTGCGGGTGCGTGCGTGTATGCACGCGCGTCTGCATGTGTGTGCGTTCGCGTGCGGCTGTGTATCTGTGTGCGTGCGGGCGTCTCTGTCGTAATGCAATATGCCGTATGGATGGCATATATCATTCTCGGAAAACGCCGCGCCACATACAGAAAACATTACAATATTTTATTTTTTTACGGTGACGACAATGAAGTATGGAACGTAAGCGGCTAATCTGTCACTGGACGCTGTGATGGGTACTAGTGCATCGGTGATTTTCGGACAAGCTAGATTATCACTAACGGTGACAGACACGAGTTTATGCTGACCACCGTGGGTGTGATCTGCGATGCGGAAAACCTTTAGATCTTCTAGCTACCTGCAATAAATCACTGAAGGAGAGACAGGCGGAGAGTTGAGCGGCGCGTTAGAATGAGCGATCAAACGATAGAGAGGGGAAGCGTGAAAGAGAGAAACGCGATAGAGTGTGTGCGAGTGGGCGAGAGAGCGAGAGAGAGAAAGAGAAAGAGAGAGAGAGAGAGAGAGAGAGAGAGAGAGAGAGAGAGAGAGAGAGAGAGAGAGAGAGAGAGAGAGAGAGAGTGTGTGTGTGTGTGTGGTGTGTGTGTGTGTGTGTGTGCTGGCGACAATCCAGTTTTCTGTTTCTGCGTTGGTAAAAGCACTAGTGACTTTCCAGCTGTTTTTATATCACAATTTATTTCACTGAATCCACATCTGCTTTGCCGTCAATCTTATTAACACTAAATTTCGCACGTTATCCCTGCATTACGAAACAGAGTAGTCACGGATGTTTCACACTCGGCACGATGGACAGTAGCAAGATTACACGCTGAAACACCAAGCATCGCAAGTCGCATCGTTTATAGTCTTTTCATTTGGAACTGCTCCTAATATATCGACTAATACGTACACGAAGTCCGTATCATAGCTGATATAGAAGGCAGTAAATCGCCGTAATCTTATATGCAGCCGCCTGACTGCTATTTACGTGCATGTAAATCTACTTTCGACGCCTGCGTCCCGGTCTGCCTCGCCGAAGCACCGGCAGAGAGCAACTTTATTCTATTGCGCTTTCCAAGCAGATTGTGAAATCCCTTTTCCACAGCTTTGTCAAAAATAGCACGTAATTTTCGATGGGTTTGCGCGAATTACCGCCGAGGTTATACATCGAAAAATAACGAATATGATCCAGAATTCCAATTCGAAATTCAATATATCTCGTGGCTATTCACGTGCGTTACGAGTTAGTCTCGCAAAGCAGCAATTAGAAGTGGAAATATATATATGTAAATGCATTGTGTTTGCTATTTTCGTCATAGAAACAGGAAAAGACACAGAATCCAAACAACGAGCATGTATATGTACAACTGGTAATAGATAATATTGATTATAGCTGTACGAGTGGCTTGAGCGGTACTGTGATGCGTTCTGTGTGTCACGGCTGCGTGCGCCGACGTGCAGTGCGGGATTGTGTGGCAAACATGCGTGTGTACGCCGCCCGTGTACGGTGTCTCGCGCGTGTGGGCGGTGGTGTTGGCAGAAAGATGCAATAATGATACTACATACTAGGCACTTTAATTTAATTTTTTTTTTTAAGAGTAGGGTAGGGTCAGGGTCTAGGTTTTTTTTAAGTGGCCTAGTGAGTCAGAATTCATATCGCATCTATCTGCCGGTGCTGTGCGGGTGTGTATGCCGCGGCGCAGGCACAGGTGCAGTTATTTTACATCAAAGTAAAGACGCATGAGTCAATTTTACTCACGTGTGCGGCGATTTTCCGTTGAGTAAAATTTAGCTCATGCGTATTTAGCTCACGTGTGGCGGCGATTTCGTTGGTAATTGGAACTGCATGCGTCATCTTACTTGAGTAAAATAAACTCACGTGTGCGTCGTGGCATAAACACCCTGGCAGGGGCAGACGCCGATCGGGGGCGCACACGCAGCGCTATATATACACCATATATTTATAATATATACTATATAAATAATAATATATATAGTACTATATTATATGCGTAATATGCACACGCGTGCACGTGTGGCCTTGGACGTGAAGTACTGTGGCGCATAGCATTAGCACGTGAACTTTGCGGGCGTGTGAAGATTGTGAAACGCGTGTGCGGATAGCGTATTCGGCCCATCGGGGTTTCATTCTCATTTTGAATTTGGCAGCAATGGAGAGATAGTGATCGCGCTCACGGGAGCGCTCTGATTGGCTAACAATATTGTCTGCTTATTCATTTTATTTTTTATTATTTTTGCTAATTTTGTTTTATTTAGAAATTCGGATAATGGTTAAGGGTTAGGTTAGGGTTAGATTAGGGTTAGGGTTAGGGTTAGGGTTAGGGTTAACTTACTTTATATCACAACTTATTCTATATTCAACTAATCTCTCCCCTGAGACCTACTATTCTCATTTTCCTGTACGATTCGAAGCAGAGCGATCAGTGAAATTGCTACGCGAGGAGAAACAATAGACAATAGTCGCATGTGACTACCATAGTTCCAGGAACCCAGGAAAACATATTCAGCGCGCACAACTTCTATATCAGCTACATAGCGTGGCAACTTAAATGAGCCCCCTTAGCCACGGGCTTCCGCTATATAACCGTAATGGTCGGTTGAGGGGCCGTGCAGCCACACTCAATATTCCTCTTCCGAATTGTTAGGGATCTCCTGTTTGTGCAAGCGCAGGCGAACAGCAGTAGAATTCGAAGGCGTAGAGAAATCCCGTACTCTGCATAGCCCGCGCCTACGAGTTCTCGGGTGACCTGGACGGCGCGGACCTGCGAGAAATCAATAATTTAAGCATCGTAAGAACTATATATGACGCTGCTTTTTATAGCAGCTAATATGGACGCTGGGCAGCGTCATCCTTGCTTAGTAAATAAGTGAGAGGGGCGACGTTTGACGCGCCATCTTAAAACGTCGCGAGAAGTGTCGGGCAGTATTATTACTCGCGCTAACTTTCGCGCCTAAATCTCATTAGGCTCATTCCGAGACTATCACCTGGCTGTGGCCGCGTAGCCCCTACATTGTGGCGCGTGATTTTGCACAACAGTCGTGGGCCAAAGCTGGTCCTTGGCTGCAATATAATATACGGCGCATGCCGAGATATGCGGTCGGCTCTCAACGCTTGGCGTGATAATAAAGAGCTGCCATGAATGCTTACTGATATTCTTTCGGCAGCGAATTATCAACCGAAAGACCCGCAATAACAAGCATGGCAGGTTGGCGTTCAGGCCCTCCTTTCAGCGAGACATTCAATGACCTGTCAAGCGACGAAAACCTGTTCAACATAGCGGCTGACTTTTTTACGTATTTTGTTGACCGGATCTGCAACTGCACGAACGGTAATAGCCGACGATTGGCTAACAGGCAACACACACACACACGACACACACACACACACACACACACACACCACCACACACACACACACACACACACACACCCACACACACATAGCATACACACACAACATCACACACACACACACACACACACACACACATACATCACACAGCACTACACAGCACAACATAGCCAACACCACACCACACACACACAATACACACACACACACACACACACACACACACACCACACACACATATATATATATATATATATACATTCACATACAAATCACATACAAATCGCATTACTCTCCGTGCAATTCCGCTCCGACGGTGGTCCTCTCATTTGACTAGGAATTCGCCAAGGTTGGAATTTTTCGAACACGCATCATGGTCGTCAATCACTGACGCGTTCAATTCTCACACGAGGCACGTGAACGTGAACATATACCGAATTATACGATCAGCGTTGGTTAGTATATACTGTAGAATAATCCGCTAATCAGTGAGATATACTACAGCACACACTAACCAAAGTTAATCGCGATGTAGAGAATCCTCGTGAAATACGGGAAATTTGACGGGTGCGAACCTCAATGTAGGCGCAGCCTCATTCATGGTAAAATTGCCCATGGTAGAGGGGAAGATGTTACCGTGCAGTCACTAATCTTTTTCAGCTTAATGCGTTCTGAATTAGGAGGAGTGCGTCTAATGCATTGCCAGTCTTGTACGCTGCGTATATGGTAATTGAATTTTTCGTTTGTTACAGTTAGTGTCGCACGATGAGGATGGGGGCGCTCACGCTGTCGGTCGCTTCCGAGTAGAAAACGGGGATCGGTGTGACAAAGACGAGGTAAGTCCCCCCCCCCCACACACACACGCACACACAATGTGGGGGTGTATATGTCGTGCAGGCACATCACTTATTTTGCGTCCACTTGCGTGTCATCTTGCACATTGATTCTCATATACATGCAGGTGCGTGCAAACTTTCGTGCCGACGGCTTACAATTACGGTTAATGTCCGTTTACAGTTACTATACCAGCTAGAGGACTCAGCCAACGCACTTAGAACCCTTCTTAGAACACGGATGTGGGTGTTAGCGTTATAATTATAACATAAACTAGGATGGTTAGTACTGGTAAACAGATATTACGGCGATATATTGCTGCGCCTAACGTTGCAGATAATACACACGGTGTCCATTATAATGGCGATGCTCACGGCTATTGCGGGCATGTATACGCATGGTGATATGAACCTATGCGTCTGCTTGTGTGTACGTGCACGTGTGTGTGTGTGTGTGTGTGTGTGTGTGTGTGTGTGTGTGTGTGTGTGTGTGTCGTCGTTAAAGGTCATGTCATGATTTCTCGCAGGCAAAGCTGTCCTCAACTTTTTAGGGGCCCACAGAAAGAGGTTAGATTACGGCTTCACCCCCTGACGAGCGCTTCCAGGAATGCAGCAACATAAGGTGGGCCGCGTCTTAATCAAGTGGTTGTACACCTTGCCATGGACTCCTTTATTAGACATGGCAAGGTCCGATGAATTTTATTGCAAATTGATTGGTGTGGATCTCCCCATGTGGGCTGATTGTGTGTGCGTTGTGTGTGGTGGGTCGTGCGGAGACGTGAGCAGTG